TCCTCACCTAATATGTTTCTGCTATCTCACGCAGGCTGTGTTTTAAAGAGCTACACAGTACAAGGACGTAATGACTTTCTCTGTGATTACCACCGGGCTAAGCCATGCTACAAGCCTCTTATTCCCCCTGCAGCTGGATCAGGCAGTAAAAGTTACCCATGAAATCCCCGCTGCAGGCAGAGTTCACCATACGCAGCTCTATTGATGAATGAAGCGTGGCCGGCAGAGATTTGGTAAAACTCTTCAATGTATGGGGTTGGAGAGTAAGAGGCAAATATTGATTCATGGTTATAAATGTTTCCTGTTCTACCTTGAGGATCTGCAGTGATGAATTAAATGGAACTAGTGGCCTAAAACACAAATAGAAGCCATAGACACAACAACAACAGATACTCCTGTAGAACGGAGATGAAGAGATCACCATCTGAAAGTATGGATCATTATTAAAAGAAAAAGGAAAACGCCTGAAATGTTTATGCTCTGTAGCTCTTGATTGGCTCAGTCTGACTGTTAGATCCTACAGTCTGTTGTGCATTTTTGAGTATGTTCATTATTTTAAGGCAGACTTTAAGGATATTAATAATACCTTCCTCCTTCGTAGTATTTAGCAGAAAATACTCAGTTGAAAATGCTAAACATTCACTGGGTTCAGATGTTCATGTAAGGATTTCATCGAGCTCTTTGTAAAATGACTGTCTTCTTGATTTTAAACTCTTCTCTTAATTTTCTGGACAAAATGAGAAATAGTCAGCTGCAGCCCCAAGTACATTTGTGTGACTGGTAAACCGCTCCGTGAAGGCTCCTCCGGTTGAGTTAAAAGTGGGTTAACAAAATTCAAAGAGTAGGACTGCTTGCAACGATACACACCACATTCATCACCTTCCCTCTGCAGCCTTTTTACAAGTTTTTACCTCTAGAAGTAGAAGGTTTACATATAAAATAGTTTCCAGAGAGACTAATAAACTGCTGTTAACTGCACACATCTAGTGCTTGCAAAGCAGCTTCTCCTCTCTTCTAAACGTTGGCAATGGTTCTGAGTTATTAAACTTGCTAGATGCTGTTGCTGCTTCATTAATTCACTGCATTCACTGACTTGTGGACTTGCTGCATTTGTCGTCCATTTGATTTTCTGTCCTCTGGTCATTCTTGTGGGTACTCTGGTATGAACTCTGTCCATAGTCACCACCTCTGTTTTGTTTCCTGTCGTATTTTCCTCTTAAATTCCACTTGAACCTCATATGTATTTTACTGTTTGTCCTATTGGCTTTTATTTATAGTGTTTTATAGTCTATAAAGCACAATGTGACATTTTTGACTGCGTGTTTGTTTTGCAAAGGCTTACGCCAGCAGAGTTTTATTATTACCCTTGTCGCACGGCAGAACTGGGATCTGCTTCAGCCGCTGACACTTTATCTCACTCCTCCTCACTCACAGTCGCAGCTCTGAGACAGCAGCAGCCTGAGGGTTGCATTATTGTGACTTCTTTTTGAGCCTTAGAAGAAGAAGGTACAATTTGGTGAATCCAATTTGGGGAAATGAAGAGGTTGAACTTCCTCCTGCTTAGTTTCAACATTTCTTTTTTCTCTCAATCAAACCAAAAAAATCTGAGTTTGCGCATCTGCATCACATATTTGTATTCATGACTACATTTGTGGTGTGAGTATAGACACCACTACGTCATTATCTGTGAAATAAACGAAGACGATGGAGGAATAAGAAGCACACACAGACAGATATTCTTTAGCTAACACATCCCTCAGTGTTCACACTTGGACTTGTCGGGTATCTTATCCCTGCATTCTCAGCTGTCTGTTCATTCAAAATATTTGCTCAGTGCCTTCCTGTGTATGTTGTCGGCCCTGGCATCAAACACACAACGCCGTTCACCGTTTGGTGCTAGAATGCTTTCTCGGCAGACAGCTTGGTTTTTATGTGTCACATGGACCGACTGTCTGAGTTCTGTTGTGGCTGAAGAAGATACAATTCACAGAACAGTGTGTTTCCAAATGACTGTTGCCGATTGTAAGATAAATCGTGAGGCTTAAATATGAAACCTTAAGAGTTGTGTATGTGATGTACCTCTGATGAGATCCAGTTGTGTTCTGATTTTAGCATGTGAGTATGTGAGTTTAAATCTTTGTAAGAGAGTGTAAAATGAGATTAGGCAGCATCCACATGAACGCTGTGAACGCTGACAGTAATGGCTCCTCAGTTATGTTTCCAGTGGAGGATCTGACAGTTTTGACTACGGTGTCGACTCCAAAACAACAAATGGTAGTTACTGGATGTATCTTTGAGCATGCAGGAAATACAACAATGGAGTGTTTGCTTCTTAGTGTTTTTTAGTTTTTCTACATTAGGAGGGTAGAAAAGTGAAATGGAGCATGTTGTTGTTATTTCCAAGTTTAATCACTCAGCATTAACACCCAGCAGATCAAAAGTCAAAAGTGGTCATAATACAAAAACACATATCTCACATCAAGAACAAGAAATATGGCAGGCAAGCAGCACAACATTGGTGCTCTATTGGCTCAGTACTACCTGTCTGTGTAATAGGTATGTCTTCTGATTTTGTCACACCACACAAAACTGTATTTTAACCACACAGCCAAAGTTGATTAACTAAAAAAAAAAGCAAAATACATAAAATTAGGTTTCAAAATGGTGAATAAGTAAGCTTTACTCTCTCCTCGCTGAAGATGCTGATTGACTGCTGTTCCTCACACCAGCTCAAGTTAACCGTAAATAGTGTGGCAACAGACCTGAGTTCATTTTAACAGAAACAAAAACAGGTTAGATGTGAAAATGCAAAAGCATTTCCATCACTTGGTGGCTGTGGACTTTTACCTACTATAATAAACTCACCACACAAGACAGCTTCCACTCATTGGTGAGCATGTACTTCTTATAATTGTCTAGCTGTGTGTTTTCAGACATGGTCATCTGACACGTATGTGTTTAGAAACACATCTCTGAGTTGTTTCTGTCTCATGCTGTGTCATACTCAGACATTGCCTTCTGAGTTGTATTTTGTAGTCAGCATGTGTTAAGGTCATTTATCTACATCCATCACGCTCCTCGCTGTAGCATCACGCAATATGTTTATTGCTGCAGTTCTTATAATAGTTAAAGGCACATTAACTTCTCTATGTCCATATAATTTGACCCTATGTTTACTGGATTGAGTAGCAGTTTAATTGTACGGCTGGTTGTTCAGGTGTTCGTATTTTAATGTGTTTTGTACAAACTTTTTATTAATATTTTTTATGAAAGCTGAAGCATGGTGATTCCTTCTTTAGTTGTCTTCCACAAGCATAAGAGTGTATTTTTTATCTCCCAGATTGTCTTTATTTTATGCATAATTTATTTTCCTCTTTGTGTATAAGCTGACTAAATGTATCTTTGGTGAAATTAGAATCAGCGTCTTTATTCATTTGCCAGAAAATATTTCAATCGGTTATTGGCTCATCTCAGTCACATAGTGTGAGAGTCCATTTGCTTTTTCTTTTTAGATATGAATTATTTAGACATATTATGAGACATCATCATCATGCTCCAGATTATTAAACATTTATATAAAAGTCAGACACGCACATAAGTGAGGCAGACTCTAAAGTGGCTGTGGTGTACAAGTGTCCACTGTTTGAAAGTAATACTTTCAGTTAAAGTTCTTTTAGAAGTTGTTGTAGAGTTGTTAAAATCACTTACAATGGCAATTAGTTTTTATTTTATTTTTTTATATTTTACCCTGTCTGCCTCTGGTATTTTTTTTCTAGGTTTAAATAAGAAAATGGGGATGTGTGACCCTACAACAGGATTCTGATTGGGTATGATCCAGACATTTTCTAATGGATCACATTATCTGTACAAAGCTTTCTCCAGTTGTGATCTTGTGTTGCGTTTCATTTGTGACAGGACATCATTGTTATAGCAGATCAACAGTGGGCAGTGCAGAACAAGACTATCAACGGAAAGCTCAGATACACTCTGTCTTCCTAACACAAAGCTATTTATTTTTGTGTGTATGCTTCAGAGCAAAATACACACATTACCTGATTAGTAATGTTGAAGACACCATTGATGAAGCATACTTGCACATCTCTCTTGAGAAAGCAGGTTCTTACAGGGTTCCTGTGCTGTAGGGAAAGGTATGGAATTAGATTTTAGTCATTTCTAGGTCTTAATAAGAATAGTAAATAGAAGAGTGTGGACATTTTTTGTGTTTTTTTCGAGTTATGCGCTATCCCATTTTCTAAAAAAATCCAGAATTTCCAAAAACACATTGATCACACAAACCAGAGTGCTTTTAGTGGTGTTTGGAGCAGGAAGGCAGAGCAGCCAAAATGTTTGGCAAGTATGTCTGAAAGCGAAGGCCAGAGCAAGCATGATGCCTTCGGAAGCAGTGACTGCGGTCACTGTGAGGCCTACATGTCGCCGATAACTTCCCTTAGAATAATTGTCATTTTGCTTGTGACTGTGAGGTTGGCAAAGAAAATGTTTTAAAGAAAGCAGAGGACATGAAAACTTCTAATTTGTTATTGTATAATGTCTTAATGACATTAATGTTATGTGTAGCTGTTGAGTATTCATTTGCAATTTGTTCAATAAGAACATGTTGGAAATAATTTATTTTGATTCTTTATTCAGTAGAAGAAGCTATTGAATGTTTGGGAGTCAGTGTTCCCACCGTGTGTGTTACAGCAGGAAGTCGTAGGAACTCTTGAACTATGTTATTGCACATCACAGGTTTTCCTCATATTGAGTTGGGCTGATTTATAGCCAGGATGTAACATAACCGTTTGATTTTAGAAACAATTATTTACAGTATAAACATCATAAATAATCATCAGCTGTTTGTACTCTGATATCAAATATGGTTTGAAAAATCTACAAAAAGTCTGAAAATTGAGTCTGGAGTTTTCCTCAACATTGTGTTTCTTTCCTAGTCACCACCCATGCACTGCATTACCTCTAAAGAAAAAACTGCTCTGTTTTCACAGGTGATGGTGTCCCAAAGGAAAACAGTCCCTTTATCAACAACACAGACAATGACAAAGGCAACAACTATGATGGCACCAACATGGCGCTCTTTGAGGTACAGTACAAACATTTCTGTAAACTTTAACTGGATGTAGTCATCGTAGTAAGTAGCAGAATATTTAACTGCACAAGGAAATGTGACTATGTGTTCAGGTCATGAAGGAGAAACCTTCAACTGTGGAGCAAAAACCATTTTTTTTAAGTCAACATTCAACGCCAGGCCAGACCTATAGCTGCAGTTTAAATTAGAACTAGCCTATGAGGCTCAAACCAATAATTAATGCACAGTATACTGAAGCAACATGCTAGTCTGTGGTTAGCTAAATAAGCAGAACACACGGAGATAAAAATACCAATCTCTTGGCTCAACAATGCATCAGTCAAAGAGTTGATTTGCCATAAAAGCCGGTGCATTCCTTCAAGTTCATTCAGCTGAACCTTTGCCAGGTGCTTCACTCTGCCATTTGGCAGACCTCTGTGCTCTGTGGTCAGTGGCCCTTGTATAGAATCAATTAGGCACAGTGGCTTCTGTTTTTCTCCACTCTGCATGAAGCTGATCCAGGCGTGCTATTCTAAGATGCTTTGAACAGTTAGTGAACTGAAGATCACACTGTTCATTTTGTTCCTGGAATAGTTTATCCTTCTTCCCATCCAAAGCCTAATGAAAGCTCAAGAAGTATTTGGGAATGTTCTATTTTGTTTTTTTAATTTATTTATTTAATTAGTATTTATTTATTTGTTTATTTATTTTTCACAGATTTTTGACAATAAAGAAATAGTAAATGAGGGACCTGGTATTTAAGGCAGTTGCTGAGCTGAAAGAATTAAATGTCTAATGCTGTTGTTCAATATGTTAAAAAACAAAAACATTCTCTACTGCAGGAGGAGATGGACAGCAACCCCATGGTGGCATCACTCCTCAACAAACTGGCAAACTACACCAATCTCACCCAGGGGGCCCAGGAGCACGAGGAGGCCGATGATGATGAGGGGCCGAAGAAGAAAACTGTTAAGGTGCAGCAGAAAGCCTTGTTTCTTACAGTGTCTGTAGTAGAGCTTTGAGGCAGTGTTTACATACATTACATATGTGGTACTGTACAGTTGCATATTAACTTCGAAATTTGCTGAACCATCATTACATAACAGGGTCTTTGACCGATAAATCCCTCATGTTTTCTTCTCAAATCTTTTTCTGGGTATGAACCTTATTGTCAAATTCTGTGAAGAACAATTTTATGGTACACTCAGCCATAAAGTAGTATTTTTTTGAGGGAAACTGTTTAGTCAGCCAGTTAGAAATGCACATCGTCTAAAAGAAAGTTTGATAGAACTTTTCAAAAACTGTATTTTAATGACTCTTTATAGTCACTTACGTAGGTGGAAGGCTTGTAGACAGCGTTTATGGACAAATACACTGATACATCACAAAGGCTATATTTTGTTAGAAGCATATATTTCTTCTTATTTCAGGCCTGTATGATCTATACTCTGCTGGTTGGGTCAGAGCTTATTGTAACAATGAAATCCAAACAGAAACACAACATCGGCAGCCCAAGATCTACCGTCTCATATTTCTGAGTCAACACAAGCCTTGTTCATGTTGCCCTTGTCCAACAGTTCATTTGTATGTTCTCTCCTCGAGGACTCTTCGATAGAAAAGGAAAGTTTCCACAGTGCTGCCATGCAGCACATAGATGCTTTTGTAACCACAATTTCAGTCCCATGCCAGTTGCCCCATCTTGTCCACTGTATGGAAATAGGCCTTGGGTACCTCCCACTGCTTGCAGGAACATCTTACTAAAGAAATAAGTAGATGAAGCTGACACCATTGTCGCTCCTCTTTGTCTGGACTAGCGGGACTAGTGCTTTACGTTTGGAGATAGATGGCGAAAAAGGTACCTGCTTGTTAATCCATTTGATCTGTTCAATATTTTGTGTTTTTGTCAGAAAAGTCTATTATATTCCTGTTCCTTTTGCCTTTTTTACATGTTGCGAAACTACAGTTTCTTGCAAGGAATGCTGTATTCGAGATGGAGGAACAGAAGGATGTTTGACACGTTTTGATGCTAGTTGCTGCATAGTACAGGGTTGTTATATAAATACTGTCTTTGTCACTGACATGTAAGTCTTTCATCCAGTTTGAACGTCAGCTCATTTTTAACAAACATTTCTCTTTAGAAAGCTGACCTTCATATTGCTGATGGTGGAATCTTTGACTTTGTACTCTGTGGATCCCTGTGCATGATGCTGCTGTATCAAAGTGATTATAGGAACAAGTCACTGGCTCACACATTAGTGATGTCTGTACATGTAGATCAGGTGCAGTATTTAGTATGCTATAGTGAAATTAATATTTACTTTTTCTCCTATTTTAAGGATTATTTTTTATTGCAACTCTGTACAAAGATAGTTTTGTGCTTTTATTTTTGTGAGTACAGTCCTGACTGAATTGAGTTGTGTATGATATTGTATACAGGTTTTGTTTGCCTCTCTCCTTATTCTGTCCTTGTCTGCCCGCCTGGTTTTATTCTCTCTGCCAACATTGCTGTAACTTTCTTTCCCTAATCACCCCCTCCAGCATACACGTGCACACTTTTAACCTTTTTTCTGCTATGTTGTCTTTTTACTCCTCCCCTCCCCTCTGCCCCACTACAGAGCCCTCAGATGGGGACCTTCATGGGTGTCTACCTCCCATGCCTCCAGAATATTCTGGGGGTCATCCTGTTTCTGCGCCTTACCTGGATTGTCGGCACTGCCGGCATCTTGGAGTCCCTGGCTATTGTTGGCTTGTGCTGCTCATGTGTGAGTACCTAAACTCTGTTTTAGATTTCGTTTGAGTGTGTTACAGACTTTTGTTGCCCACAGTGTTACCTCTTAGGCTACTTATAGCACGCCCCTCCTTTCTGCAGGATTTGGGCTGTCTGCAGCCAGAAATTAATACCTGCAGTCACAGCTCAAGGCCAAAAGAGTATCGGCAAACTGTCTTTCTATAGAGCATCATTAATAATAACTGAAGTTATATTTTCATCAAGCATGCATTAAAATTGAGATAAATTTAGTAATCTGCAAAAGAAACTGAAAATTATTACCATTAGGGTTACAATCACAGAAGTTTATCATTGTTATGGGAAAAAAACAATAACCAATTTTAGTGTAATTTCTTATTTGCACAGTTAGTTTAAATGTTTGCCATTGTACCTCCTTGTGTATGCGCCCAGATCATTTTTAAGAAAAACAGCTTCATGTTTTGCTAAATAATTGATGAGTAGAAACTAAAACGAGCTGGTCTGAGACATGGATATTATTTGTCCTTTAGCAAGGGATTTAGCCTTAAGTCATTAGAGCAATGACGTGTAAGATTATGTAAGTGAACTCAATGTACATACCCAGCTCTTAAATGCATTATGGATACATTAGCACATGGCTGCGAATATGCATATGCCTGTGTGGTTGAGTGTTTATGCTGATATTAGAGGCAGATGCTGCTTTGACTTCGATGCCAGACAGAGGCAAATGCTGGATTGACAGCAGTAATGAATGACCGGCAAGTTGACTCAGTGGCCACTGATCCCTACTATATTTAGCCGCTGTGCCTCTGTATTTCTCATGCTCTGCTAGCTCCTAATGGTACCTGGCTTGACGTGTAATCCATCCATCTGCAAACTGTCAGAAACGTAGTGGCATGCACGCCCACACAGGGCCTGTATTTGCTAATCCCACAGCAGACAATGGATGATTTTATCTTAATCAGGAAAAGTAAAACCTCAAGAATAACCTCAGTTCAACGCTTTTTGCCTTTGTATTTAGTGCTGTCTTGGTTAAATAGGATCAGTTTCACTCACAGTGACAAAGAGCGGCAAAGTATGCAGTCATAGCAAACCTGAAGTTTAATTTTATTCTTTTCTAACTGTAATGCACAATAAAGGCCATATATTTATATTTATATTTTAATATACTGAAATTACTGCATTTTATACCTGTGCTGTAAATGTTCAGAAACCATAGTATAACCCATTACACTGCATCTGTAATGCTACGATTTCATATTAGATTTCATGGCTTATGAACTGTGTGCCTAGAAAGATGGGAACTCCATTTCATATATTATAATCTCGCCAAAGTGCGTTAGTAGGGTTTACCCTGCCCTGCATCACTGCCGTTACATAATAGCAGAGCCAAGCTAAGACAAACAGATTAATGTTCATTTTCTCTGCTTAGACCACATCTGACTTTGCACTGATGGTTCCACGTCAGCCACCTGCTTATAGGTCATATTCTGTGTGCTCTAGACCCAACACCAAAAATATCTAAAAATAAACTGAGGGTCATTCAACTTACACCAGTTCAGATTTAATCTTATTCTAATAATATTTTATAATACGTATGCTGCAAACGGTTTCTGTTGTATTCCAGCACAAATAAATACAAACGGAGAAACAGATTTTTTAAGATAAAAACAAAGAGGCTCTGTGAGTCAGACTGGATCTAATGGCATCAGACCTCATGCTAATATACGGAGAGTACAAGCAAACTTCATTAGCACACAGCACAGCATACAGAGTATTTTCCATCATGTCATGAGTGGTCTTTAGGCTGCATGTGGCTCAGTCACATGTACACAGTAGCAGCATTGTGTTTATGGCTGCTCCCTGCTAGCACCTGGGTTCCCGAAATGCAACAAATCAGCCTCTTATTCACCATGTGACATAAAAAAATAAGACTGGTGTATTATGTTTGAGATTCATCAAGTCCAAAGTTGATTCAGAATTAAAAATTGATTATCCATCAGTGCTCCTGACTCTGTCCAGGTAAACTGCCAGCTATATAGTCCAACTGATAACTTTTAGTTGGCTTTAGTTTCGCTATTATATTCATTTGCTCTCATGTTTGTCGTGTAGAATACAGCTTCATAGAGATTGTGGTGAATGAGATCTTCGTTTTAAAAGCTGCATTATTTTATTGTGACATGGTTCTTTGAATACTGTAGCTTTGTAAGCATATCACCACCACATCACTGTAATTTTTTGGATGAAAGCACCAACAGCAATACCCAGATTTTAATACTAAATTAATGTGATTTCAAGAATTGTGCTTTTTATCATTGTATCCCAGTTAACAAAGTCCATTATTTTATTTTTCGTTCATGACATATTTTCAGTCAAAACAAAAAACAAAAAAACAACCTTGTGTGATGTTTAACCTTTAGTTTGAAAAAGCTTAATAACTGGTTCACCTTGAGAGGGCTCCAAGCACCACTACTGATGAATTTCCACACCATTACAGCTGCCTGTTCAGTGGCAAGTGGATCCACTTGGGACCTGTGAATAGCAGTGCTGTACTTTGCTTTAAATTCTTTCATTTATTTGTGGTCTGGTCCAAGCTACCGAGTAGCCGCTTAGGGATTCAGTGGAAGTGAGAAGTAAAACTGTCTGCTAATTGGCTTTACTCCAACTTGTCTGCCACTTTAAACCGGATGCCCAGCAAAGAGCACAAGGTTTATCTTAGTCATGTCCTTGTCTTTTCTCCTCCTCCTCCTCCTCCTCCTCCTCCTCCTCCTCTATCCTCTCTCTCCTTTACCCTCTATTCTGTCACCTTCATACTTATTCCAATCCCTCTATCTTTCACCCTTTAAGTTTTAACTTTCACGTCTTTTTCTCTTCCTGTCTTTGTACCTCTTATCTCGTCTCGCTCTGCCCTTCTCTCTACTCTGTCCTTTCTCTCGTCCGGAAGCACTGTTAGGTAACAGGCTGATGGAAATATCCTCAACCACAATGACTAATTTCACGGAAAAGCTCGTATCCATTACCAATCCAAAAGATTTAGAGCATAAGCCCCCTAAGAAGTATTTTGACGGACTAAATGCTAGATTAACCCCCCACGGACCCCATTGTTTAGAAAATCCGCAACAGTTATGGAAATAAAGAAGTGTTGGGTGGGCAAGGAGATTTGTTGAGCTTTTTTCATGTTTGATTTTGAATATGTGATGGCCATGTCACAAACAGCACTGTTACAACACTGAAAACTAAGTTAAGAGTACATACCGGCTCGATAATAACTTTGCCTTCCATTACAGAGCTATGAGATATCTCTGTGTAACGTCTTTGTCTTCCTCTCATCTCTCCACAGACCATGCTGACAGCCATTTCCATGAGTGCAATCGCTACTAATGGTGTTGTGCCAGGTAGGTTGCTTTGGTGCTAGAGAATAGATAGAAATGTTAAAGCAATAAGATCTTTCTGTGTTTGTTGGTTGTATGGTAACAGATGCTGTTGTCTGGGGATTTCAGCAATGTGTTGTTGTTTTTTTTTAAACCTTAATGTTTGGCCAATATATTGAAAAGGATGTTTCTGAAGTGTCGATTTAACAGGAGAGTAGTATCTTCTTTCTCATACAAATCCTCCCTCCCACTGTGTTTCCTTTGCAGCTGGAGGCTCGTACTATATGATTTCCAGATCTCTGGGTCCAGAGTTTGGTGGAGCTGTGGGTCTCTGTTTCTACCTGGGGACCACCTTTGCTGGCTCCATGTACATCCTGGGAACCATTGAAATTCTACTGGTTAGTCACGCCTGTTTCTGTTTGAATTATGTCTTTATGGTGTCTACCTTTACCCGTATTCAAACTAAATCTTGTTTTACCGAGACCTTGCTAAATTTTAAACAACATAACATCTAAAAATGTTACCAACTTTTGTAGTTTTCTACATGTATTACCACATTGTGCCTTTAAATGCCAGGATAAAAATATAAGTGCACACAAAGCAAAACCAAAATGAGCTGACTCGGATTTAGTTTTTTGGTGTTTTTGTTGAAGGTGACAAGTGTATAATTTTTTAAATGCTGTCCTGTCTGTTCCCCTCCCATCCAGACCTACATCGTGCCTAAAGCAGCCATCTTTGTGGCAGAAAAAAAGGAAGATGAGGTGGGAGCCCTGCTTAACAACATGCGTGTTTATGGCACATGCTGTCTGGCCCTGATGGCTGTGGTTGTTTTTGTTGGGGTCAAGTATGTCAACAAGCTTGCATTAGTCTTCCTGGCTTGTGTTATTCTTTCCATCCTCGCCATCTATGCTGGAGTCATCAAGACCATTTTTGAGCCACCAGACTTTCCGTAAGTCCAGTTTATAATAACCTTGAATGTTGTATAATTTAAGAGTAGCGTCAGAATAGGTGTATCAGTAAGCCACAGTGGTTCATGGATATGGAATTTAGATGTGCAGCAATTATCAGTTTAACAAGTGTGTAATTTTAAGATGTCGCTTTCTTTCTCCCCACAGTGTTTGTATGTTGGGGAATCGCACTCTGCAGAACCACCAGTTTGAGAAGTGTCTTAAGACTGAGACTATAGATAACCTGACAGTCACTACCAAGCTGTGGACGCTGTTCTGTGATGGACCTGGGCTCAATGCCACCTGCAACGAATACTTTGACAACAACAATGTGACCATGGTGCAGGGCATCCCCGGACTGACTAGTGGAGTCATTTCAGGTTGGAACACTGTGTTTACTTTGCAGGCTTTGCTTGCTGTGTGTTAAAGGATTTAAAAGGATTTATTTTCTGTTATAATATCTGGTTTTGTTACTGTAAATGTTTCCAATTTCTAACCACAACATGTGTGTATATTCTCAAAAGGATCCACGCTTTCTTTATGTCTACTTTAACCTCATGTACCTTGTATAATGAGCCTGGCAAAAGCTAAATGAAGAGGTCCGGACAACGTTTATTAAATCTCAGTAAGAATGTAGACAGTCATGGATTGCAGTGGTTTAAATACAGTGCAAACGTTCATTCCTCCTGTTATGTAACTGCTGGCCATGACAAACTAGTTTTACTGCCAGTCTTCAGTGCAAATGCATTCTTGTCATATTTCTTTTGGGGCAACTGGGCCAAGCATGTGCAGGTGTTGTGATTTAATTTGTGAGGATTTTACTTTCTCTGTATAAAAAGCTCCTTCCTCGGTCCTCGTCCACTTTCTCTAAAATACTTTTCCTTCTTAATTTATTGCATAATACGACCACTGCTATTACTTGTAAAACCCGTACCTTGTTTCTTAATTTGTAAATCAGTGCGTTCGTACAAGCGATTCGATTTTCTTTTCTTTTCTTTTCTTGTTTTTTTGGGGGGGGGGGTTTGTTTTTTCTTGTTGGAATTATGTTGGGTTTCTCTCTATGCTGGGATAGGCTCCAGCCCCCCCACGACCCAAGTGAGGATTAAGCAGTGTATAGATAATGAATGGATGGATGGAATAATAGGCAAAAATATATGCAGAAAACTGTCATTTCAGCTCATAGTTCATGTTTCTACATCCAAAGTCGAATCTTGCTCTGCAGTAGATTGCTTTATTATCATTTTATGTCTCGTTGGTCAAGTGTTTTTCATTCATAAACTAGAATGCATCTCTTGTTGACCAGTGACTAAACCACAGGTTATAAGAAGGTCACTATAGTGTCATGAACCCACTTGGAACCCAGGACACCACTGATTTATCTCTTTACTTCTTCATATGTGTGATATCACATTGAATGGTCTGTTGGGTGAATAACACACTGCTTGTCCAAACTCTGTGCAACACATTGTGCTCTTTGGAGTATTAATCACTGTTTCTGTCACTCTTGTAGAAAACATGTGGTCAGTCTACGGCCCTCTGAGCATGTTGGTAGAAAATAAGAACTTGATGTCTGTTGGGGGAAGTGACCCTTCGCAGGACATCTACATGCCCTACGTCGTCAACGACATCACCACCTTCTTCACACTGCTGGTCGGCATCTACTTCCCTTCTGTCACTGGTGAGACTGATAAAAGCGACACACCCAGCCACACATTATAATGTAGGAATTAGTGTATTTATTTGTCAGTGAAGAGTTTGGTTTTATTTGTAAATATTATTGATTTTGATTTTCTGTCATGTTTTAGGGATCATGGCTGGTTCAAACCGCTCAGGTGACTTGAGAGATGCCCAGAAGTCCATCCCTATTGGGACCATCCTGGCTATTGCTACCACTTCTGTCATCTGTATCCTTAAGCTTTGCACTGCGACATAAATACTAGAAAACCTAACAACAAAGCACACAGGACACTGCTTTTAAACAGTGGTATTACAGGTTGATCAACTAGGTCCTCAGAGAACTTGTAATACCAGCTAAATATGCCAGATATTCCTGCAAGGGCATCCCATATTTGCCAGGTTTATAGGCTGTTAATGGGAATATTTAGTTTTGGGGCCTTTCGAACAGGAGTTACAGCATGGCAGGACTACGTTGGTATCTGCTGTATGTATAAAGCTTTGTCAGTGGATTTATTTTATCTTCCTAAGTAGTGCTTCTCAGACATCACCTGTGTGGTTCTGTTTGGAGCCTGTATCGAGGGAGTTCTGCTTCGAGACAAGTAAGAGCTTAACGCTGCAAAATTCTGTACATGTGTAGTACAAAGTATGCTAAATAAATGTGTTTTCAATGAGGAACTGGGAAAGAAATTGTGTACATTTTATTTAATTTTAGTTTCCGCTTTTCTCTGCTAGTGTCACATATGAACAACATTTTACAGCAACTTTAAGTTATTTCAGGATCAAGAGGTTTTTTTTTTTAATAATAATTCAGAATTTAACAATGTTAACATAAGGAGCATGCTTGTAATTGTATAAACAATTTTTTACAAACAGCTCTGTACTACAGGTTTTAGCATACATCACTCAATGTGGAGGAAATGTGTTGAAAACTATTTTCAGCAGAGAATTAATCCACATTTGGATCTCAGCAGTAGGATGCTGTATGTAGGGCTGAGTCAAAATAAACAGCTTGTGTGTTCATTGTAAATAAGGAAGCCTGATACATATGTGATAGTTTTTAGAAGGATTGTTTTCATGGGATTGTCAACAACTGAAGGAAAATCAAGATATTCATCATCAATACATCTTATGCTGTATATTTTATTAGGAAATTTTCCACCATGGTCTGTTTATTGCATTTGGTTGTTTTTGTGTTGCAGATTTGGTGACTCAGTGAAAGGGAACCTTGTTATAGGTACACTATCGTGGCCCTCACCCTGGGTTATTGTGATTGGCTCGTTCTTCTCCTGCTGCGGGGCAGGTTTGCAGAGTTTGACAGGCGCCCCTCGCCTGCTTCAGGCTATCGCACGAGATGGCATCGTACCTTTCTTACAGGTTAGACACAACCAACCAGCACAAATACTTTCAAGGCAGCCTTCATCTTAATGTGCTTCAAGTTTCGTGCTTGACTGTGTGTATCTCTTCGTAGGTGTTCGGTCATGGGAAAGCTAACGGTGAGCCTACCTGGGCTCTGCTGCTGACTGCTGGGATCTGTGAGATTGGAATCCTCATTGCCTCCCTGGACGCTGTGGCTCCCATCCTCTCCATGTCAGTGTTTGTTTTCATAGTAATATTGCCGTGCTCTCTTTCCATAAAAACAGATCACCAGATGAAAACAGTAATCCCTTGAGTGTTCCACTTCTTAAAACCATTTACAGTCAGTCATAAAGTTTGAGATTTAGGTGATAAGTGAGTGGTATGTTTTGGCTTGTTCTCCTCCTCCCCACAGGTTTTTCCTCATGTGCTACCTGTTTGTCAACCTGGCCTGTGCTGTTCAGACTCTGCTGCGAACACCCAACTGGAGACCACGATTCAAGTACTACCACTGGTGGGTACAAAATTCTACATCATTCAGGTCCTGTCATTTTCTTTCAGACAGTGAAAGAAGTGAATATTAAAAGGTTGATTCTTTTTTTTTCACAAATCCTATCATTGAGATGACTTTTAAGATGCATGCCAAGAATCACACATAAACAAACACTGTCACAACCACAAGAACATCCTTTTAATGTGGTTTATGCGATGATCATCCTCACTGAGATTAGTTCCACAGCACAGGCTAAGGACAATGCAGAACAGCACTATTGTTAGTTGTGGATTGTCATGAATGGATTCTAAGCCTCTTATGTGTCCATTCTAACCTGTTTTCATTTCTTTAAGACATTTCCATGAATTCACAAAAAAAAACATGAATCAGTTCTTTGAATGGATGAGCATGTAAAGATTGAACTGGAGTTGTAAACCTTTTTTTTTTTTCTCCTACAGGGCTTTGTCCTTCCTGGGAATGAGCTTGTGTCTTGCGCTCATGTTCATCTCCTCCTGGTATTATGCAATCATTGCCATGGCCATCGCTGGCTGCATCTACAAATACATTGAATATCGAGGGTAAGATTAACTGCATTTGCCAAACGTTCTTTGGTTTTAAAGCGATGGAGTGAGCAAGAAAATTGAGATGAAAATAAAGGAAAATTGTATCAGAGAGCTGTCAATACTACAAAGAAGTAATCGTAAACAGACTTGCTTACTTTTGATTTTCTTTCATGCGTCGTGTTACAGTACGTTACTTATGAATTGTGTACTCATGTTGCTACAGATAAATTGGGTTCATATCAGAAAATGTACTGTATTACCAAAAACACACAAGCAATGATTCCAACTGCCAAACACTGCAGCGATAATTACAGGGAAGACTTTCTATGTCCATCCAATCGCCATAGTTTTTTTTTTTAAATTATTTTAATTATTAGTGTTTTTCATTCATACTTTTGTATATTTTTCTATAGCGCTGATGTTTATGTATTTGTTTGCCTTACCAGGGCAGAGAAGGAGTGGGGTGATGGCATCCGTGGCCTCTCTCTTAATGCGGCCCGCTACGCCCTGATTCGTCTTGAGGAGGCTCCACCACACACCAAGAACTGGAGGTATGGGATGTTCTGCGTGCCTGTCAGTGGGTGTGTGTGTCGCATCTGGTTACAGTTGACATAGTGCCACCTGTCACTGTTGGGGTGGACAATAGAGAGACAGGAATAGACACGGAGGGTAAATTTGATTAATCTCTTGGTTCTCTACCTAATCTGACAGAAAAGGCTGATAAGCCTCGTACTGTACCGAGGCCCGCATTAGCTGACCTTGTAGACTGTCTCTTCAAAAGCTAAACCAGTCTCACTGGCGTGCTCAGTGTGGATGCTTTATTTAGGGGTGTGATGTTTCCAATTATATAGATAGATTACGTAGGTTTGTGATTCCTTCTCAGTTTCTGTTGTCCTTGTGTTAAACAGCTATACCTCGTATATTGTAGTGAGAATCAAAATGAGTGTAGTTAATATTTTCACAATGCCTCTTCAGCGTTATTATGCTTTACACAGAGCTGTTATTTCATGACCTAATCATACTAAGATATTGTAGGCCTATAAAAGGATTTTTGATCTGTACATCTAGTATGTACTATACTGTGTGTTTTTTTCTATCTGCTAATGTAACACTTAAAATTTCCCCACTGTGGGATCAATAAAGGTTTAATCTATCTTTCTAATTCTCTAATTTTGTTGGACAGACATATTTGTTGCTCTTCCTAAACCTTTCAAAATTTAAGGATAGACTGATCTCTTCTGGCCCTCCTCGGCAGGAAAATAAATAAAATCTGACTTTGTCCCCTTTTCCTCTTTGATGTGTCCAGACCCCAGTTGTTGGTGCTCCTGAACCTGGACTCAGACCAAGCAGTTAAACACCCTCGACTGCTGTCCCTCACCACTCAGCTGAAGGCAGGCAAAGGCCTGACAATTGTTGGGAATGTAATTGAAGGAACCTATCTCACGAAAGAGGCAGAATCCAAGAAGGCTGAGCAGGTATAGTGGAAATGCACACACAAGTGGAAAAACATGCTTATTAAATGCAGACACAAGTATGTTGTCATTGATACTGATTTTGCCCACAACTTAAAACGTCTCATTCTGGACTCTGTTTGACCAAAACTGACATATCATGGTCACAGTTACTAATGATATACAAATTGTATTTTATACTGTTACTGCTATACATGGGCATTTCTCGAAAAGTAAATAAATAAATAAAATAGTTTTCTTGAAGTGTTTCTTATTCACAGAAAGCAGATAAACTCTGCCCCCTACTGGCCATAGCGAACAACTAAAATGATTCTTACATTCTGATTTGACTTGTGTCCTCAAAACCCCTTTTAATCTTTGGATTACTTTTTCTGCAAAAGCAATCTTGTGCAGAAGCAAATGCCAGATCATCATCATCTTATTGTTAAGTCCATCAGTATGAACTGTCCTGGATGGATACTAAGGAGCGTGCTGACTGTACATTTTCAGGTAGAAACAAGGTTCGGTCAATTATTGTCATGGTTGAGCAAGGAATGTTCACTATTGAGTAGCCAGGGCATCTTCTCCAGAAAGACCTATTCTCTCAGAAATCAGTGGAGCATTAATAATGCAATAATTTCCTGTTCTACCTGCTTCGTATTAAATATTAAAAATCCTGTCCTCTGCTGTTTTGCTCTCTTTCTCTGCCCAGAACATCAAGTCTTCCATGTCAGCAGAGCGCACCAAGGGTTTCTGTCATGTTGTGGTGTCTTCAAACCTCAGAGACGGCTTCTCACACCTCATTCAGTCTGCAGGCCTGGGAGGCATGAAACACAACTCAGTCCTGATGGCGTGGCCTGGAACCTGGAAACAGTCCAATGACCCACAGTCATGGAAGAACTTCATTGGTATGGTGCAGTAGACAGCTCAAACTGAATTGAGTGTGTATAAAAATATATATATAGAGAGACAGATAGATGTTAACACACAGTGAAAGTCCTAATTACACTTCATCTATTGCATACTTGCATAACTGTTTATGAAATAATTCCCCCAAGTTGGCAGCGACTTAATGTCTCATAGACACATACCGATCGATAGGCCACGTCTCTCATAGACGCTCTGTCTCTTTCTGTCTGTCCAGAGACGATACGGGAGACCACAGCAGCCCATCAGGCCTTACTTGTGGCTAAGAATGTGGACAGTTTTCCTACCAACCAGGACCGCCTGGGGGAGGGCACTATTGATGTGTGGTGGGTGGTTCATGATGGAGGCATGCTGATGCTGCTACCCTTCCTGCTGCGACAGCACAAGGTTGGTTGTCTCTGAAATCACCTCAACGCCCACAAATCTTTCTTATCAAACACATCTGGCATCCTTTCATGCCCATTTTATCTACCTGGCGCTTTCCTTCCCTTCCCTTAAAAAATGCTTTACCACAGTAATCTATCTATCTATCCATCCATCTATCCCTGTTTGACTGTTGTTATTTCTCTTCCACCAATAACTGTGTCTTTTCCTCCTCCAGGTGTGGAGAAAGTGTAAGATGCGCATCTTCACTGTAGCCCAGATGGACGACAACAGCATTCAAATGAAGAAAGACCTCCAGATGTTCCTTTATCACCTGCGACTGGATGCCGAGGTGGAAGTAGTTGAGATGGTGAGGTTTGGATTAACAGAATAGCACAGCATTACACCCTGTAGTGGGAGCTGTGTGAGTGCATTGGTATCAGACTGATAGTCCTCAAACACAATGCTTTCATATGCTGAGGATGCCGTTTTTTTGAGTCACAAAACAAAACCTCCAGATATCTAGTGGTTCAGCAGGAACCTCATTCAGATCAAGGAAGTTGTGTTTTTCTATTAACTGCATACATTCAGTCAGAAAAATGACACACAAGACATGCAGATTTACAGATTCGCTTATGGTTTTAAATTTGTTGTTACTTTTAATGAGATTTTGATTTTTTTTTTTTGATGTTAATATCACACTTTACAGATTGTCTAAAAATCAGACAGACAGATAAACCTGAAAGACAAACAATATTTACAAACGTCTGTGAAGGCTGCACCTTTCCACGCCGGCCTGTTTAGCGTTCAGAAGTCTTGTGTCTCCAGCTCATGTTGGTTACAGTTTTTCTTCCCCGTCCTTTGCAGCATGATAACGACATCTCAGCCTTCACCTATGAAAAGACACTGATGATGGAGCAGAGGTCTCAGATGCTGAAACAGATGCAACTTTCCAGGACTGAGAGAGAAAGAGAGGTAAAGTGCACTTGAACACAATCCTGTACTCGTGGTCTGTTTTTCTGTAGCTGCCTTCCAAATCAGTAAATGCAGTATCTTTCTGCTTGTGTCTTAAAGTAAATATTAATGAGATGAGCTCATAAAAACACCCTGAGCGAAGATGGCATTTGTTTGTACTGAAGTCATTTTAATACATTAGTTCAAGTGTATGTTTACATACAAAATAATGGTTAGATTGCATATCAGCACAACCCAATTTAATAGTTTGTTGCATACAAATCACACCAAGATGATACAGTAGGAAAAAAGTCGTTCTGCATTGACATAAATAACAGTCTATGTAGTTTAATAAGGACGTAATTTAAGTCATACCTGGCCAAACATCGAGCTATATGACAACTGGCCCCTTTCCCTGTTCATCTGCCACTGCCTTTCTGGGCCGTGCCGCACTGCTCAGATTCAGAGTATCACTGACGAATCGCGTAGCTCAATCCGGAGGAAGAACCAGGGCGCTGCCGAGAACACGAACCTCAGCCGGCAGTCCTCAACGGCGGAGGACACTCAGGAGGACGAGGTAGCTTGATTTTGTCAACCCACTGTCCCTCACTGTTAGACACACAGGCCTGTCTTCACAAAGCATCTTTAGTTACAGTTGTTGCTCCCCTTTTGACAGTTTTTGATCCCATTTGTCATCATCATGGTTTAAAATCTGGATTCAGAAAATCTGAAAAGCATATTTACCAGATGTTAGATATGAATGGTCAGTGTGGCATTGTGAGTTTATCGTTCTAATGTGGACATGTGATGCATATACTGTGTATTTATTACATATATGAGGAAGAAGGACGGCGAGAAGTACTGGTGTTGATTGAAAATAGTGGGCATGTAGGTGGTGTATTTTTAAGTGAATGTTAGCATAGATACAGTTTTATGTACACATTGATCTTCCTAATATAAAGCATTGCCGTGGCATTCGAAATATAAGAATCAGCTATGATCATGTTAGAAAGGATTTGTTTGCTGTCAGTTTAAATATTTTTTAAGGTTCCCACCAAGTTTCTTAAGCAGTAGTTTAGATTATGGGACTTTCTCTTCAGCTGGACAGCATTGATGTTGGGAATGTTGTTTGTAGTTTGGCTCTCTTTCCCATGCTTCTCTTAAAACAAATGTCTAAAGCATGTCTTTAGTGTCACATTAGCCGCTGTCCCTATAGTCGGTGAGGAAAAATGTTCTTTAGATAATCCATGGTGCTTTTAAACCTTTTCTGCGTGGGCTTATTCGTAACAAACATAAGCTCATGGCTGATTTACCATGTCCATGCAGTGTACTGGAACTATTCCAGGATACTAAGATGATGGATGCTTCATCAGAGACTTTACATCTACTAGAGCAGCTCAGTCTGGCTGAAACCAGTTGTTCTACTGTAGAATGCAGCAATGTGAAGCTCTGGTTAGCCCAGGACTGCAGACGGGTCTTTCACTACAAGCCATTTAACATTAGGAAGTCTGATAAGTGCCTTTAGGCCTTTTAGTAAGGTTACTGGCTTACCACCTTATTAATATCCCAGAAAGAGTAGCGGTGCAATCATTCCAGATAGCATGCATCTTGTACAGCTGACTTTTAAACGGCACGTCCAGATTGGCGCAACAGTAGTGCTACTTTCTGTGTAGTCATCAAGAGCTGCTTTGTGAATACCAGCCAGTCACACCCTAGAACTGCTGCCCGGCATCCCGTCACCTCCATGATCCCACCTCATCCCCACTCCCCCAAACATGTGAATGATAAAGGTGGACAGTATTGTCTGAGAAAAGTGGACATAATTCGTCTTAACAACTTTTGATGCTGTCAAACTCATGCATGTGTTGTAGGTTTTAAACAATCTACGTTTGAGTCTCTTCAGTGAGTTTGTTCAGGACAAACATTACCTTGATCCCGTTGACTACATTGTGACGACAATTCTCTTCATTCTCTTAACTGTGGCATGACAGTACTGTCCTCTCTTTTTTTTTTTTTTCCCCTTTTTACCTTCCCCACCATTTTGACATCTCCCACCCTCCTGACATTCATACCTCGAACCTGTTCAGTCACAGCTGGTAGTGACAGGCAGAAAAATATCTTTCAGAAACACCCATCTTTCAAAAACATCACTTTTTTGTCACATGTCCTTCTATCTAAACACGTTTAAGAACAAGACACTGAAAATGTATCGTTACATAAACTCCTCTTAAATTGAATATTCAGCTCAGGAAGCCCTGACATGTTGCATTATCAACATGGTGACAGACTAATACACCCTGTGTTAATGAAGACACATTTATCAATATGAATGGTACCAGTGCACACAGAGAACTTGAGTCATATCTTTATGATGCCTGATGATAAACCCATAATTCATTCTGATCCTTGTTGATGGTAGTTATGTAACGGCTGACGTTGTAGCACAAACACAAGGACAGAAGTGAACAAAGCTGCTATCAAATGTCAGGAAACTAATATTGAATCTAATCCTGATTTATGTCCTGCTCTGCCGTGCTGTGCTGGGCTGTATCACTCCTCCACTCCGTCTGCATTAACGCTTTATGAACCTGCTTTCTATTTGTTTAAGTTGTATATTTTGAGCATGTGTTAATATTTGGAAGCCCTGTATCTGATGTGAACTGTTAGTTGACTTGATACTATACCTTCACCACCACCACAGCTCTGTTCTCGTCAGCCACCCATAAATGTTTCAGTCCTTGCTGGGACCTGCAGGTCCATGTGTGTTATTGTACAGGTTTGTATTAGTTTCGTTATTCATTGGGATGGTTTTACCCAACTTTTCACATCTTGTAGAAAGACAGTTGTTGGCTCCTCTTCATTCCTTGGCCCGAGTTTGTAATTGTTTGTCGTACTTCCTTTGTCTGCTGGCATTCTGTTGAAACATTTATTTTCGATTCCTTACCTTCCCCAGTTTTTTTATTCCTATATCTCTCCTTTGTTTTGTATCTCTGGAATTATTTTGGCCTCTCACATCTCATCACCTCCATCATCCCCCTCATCTTGTCTTTACTTCCTGATATCCTCACTATACTCTGTTACACCACATTTACCTGTTTGTGTCATTTTCTCTTCTTTCGTTCTGTTTCATTTCACCTTTCCCCTCAAACATCTCGTGGTGATACTCATATCCACATATGCTGTGTTGTTTTCCTTATTCTCCTCTCTGCCTTCATTCCAGGCCCAGCTCATCCACGACAGGAACACTGCGTCTCACGCTACAATAAATGACAAGGCTGACACTGGGCCCGATCGGGTTCACATGACCTGGACCAAGGACAAGCTCTTCACCGAGCGTAACCGCAACCGCGAGTGCAACGCCAATGTGGCTGTACGCGACCTGTTTAACATGAAACCGTGAGTATATGTTTGTTTAACCAACAAACTACATCTGTACATTTGTAGCTAAAAAAGAAGGAAAATAACAGTTTAGATTAGAGCAGTGTCAAGTGTATACACCGGTGAACTAAACTGCTAAGTGACATGGTGTTATTGCATGGGCCTTGTGAGAGACGTTTGCACCATTTTGAATTACTTTTAACAAGTTAAACTGTATAAAGTTTTACAATAATCTGTAGCACAGTACTGACATCACTTCAGGATGGTGCCAAAGCCTCAGCGCAGGGGGCAGCATGTGTAGCTGTAGCGGTAGTACTGAGCTGACAGGGTTAAATGGGACAAGTGTGTGCATGGCGTGTGCATTCAGGCTGTATTTGGTGTGTGTGCGCATGTGTGTACACGTCCAGCCATTTCAGTCGTATTGCATGGCCAGACCACGCGCACACCTTAGAGACTAACACCTTCTCATCCCATACTGCCCATACTGTCAGTGTGTGGACTTCATCAGGTGTGTCCCAGTCCATTTACACTGGTCTCTAAAGTTTTTAATTGAAATTCGTCAAAGGACAGGAAGAACTGGAGGCCACCTTTTTTCACAAAGCCTCACCAAACACATCAAACAGCTCTATGTCAATATCTGAGGTTTACTCAAGTCACCTTTGGGTGTCACAGCAAGTTGTGTGGGACAGTTGGAAGCATGCAGAGTGGTGGGGAGAGCTGCAGAGCTGATGTAGAAGCATCTAAGCCTGTTTCTGTTGTTCTGTCCCATTTTCCTCCTTCTAGAGAGTGGGAGAATCTGTAAGTCGCATTCTCTTTGCCCTAGGCCCTATGTGTGTTCTGCTGCTGTGGTGACTGTAGCTTTGTTCAGTGTCCTCCAGCTCATGTGCTCGTGCCTCTGTGTTCATCTGTGGTGTCCTTGTTTGCATGCCCTAATGTGCATGGACTTCATCTTCCAGCTTCAAGCAGCATGTTGTTGTGAAAAGCCTCTGCTGATTTAACCTGCATGTACAATGTCTGACATTGTTTGACGCATAAGAAAATGTATGCTTTCCATTTACCTTCAAAAAAAAAAAGGCAAATACAAAAAAGTTAATTTGGCCTTTACATGAAATTCTAAATGTTTTTTTAATCAGCTGAATGGAAAGCAAAACTGTAAAATTAACTATTCTAATGTAATTTGGCTTCTGGCAGTTGACTTCATGTGCTGTATTACCTGTGATCTGTGACGTTGGTGATGAGGAGGCAACATTTAAAGAGACGGGAGATGTTTTTGGATTTATTATTAATAAATACTTTCACAACTACAGCATGTTTTCACTATTTAAAAACAACTAAAAAGTAAGTGGTGACACCATGTTTGGGGTGTGATACCGCATGTCCCCTGGTCTTAAAATGATGCCTCCTTGTTTGAATTCAAAATGCTTCAGCCCCCTAACTGAGCCTTTTTTCTCTCATTTGTGTTTGAAGCTAACATAAAATATGCTTTAAGAAAAATGTGCCCTTTTCCTTGACAAAATGTTCTTATTGTTTATTTCTGTAATTATGTGTGTGATGGTGTTTTCTCCGTAGTACATTGTGTATTACTTTTAATTTGTAAGCAAGTCAGAAAAACCTACCTCAGTTTTTCCGTTGTGTTTAGTTTGTAAACATGAGACTCCACCGTCAGTTTTCCATCTGGAGGAGGAATAAGCAAGAGCTGCTTCTGAGCTGACATTTCTAAAAGAATTTTCCAGCATGCAGCCTTTTTTTTTTTTTTTTTTTTTACAGACGTGTGGACATGTCGCAGCAGGAAAAGCACAGGTTAAAATAGTCCAACCACGAAGCTTTGGTCCATTTAAGGAGCCAGTATTGTTCATGCTGATCACTGTCACACTGTCATGGCTCACTGGGATAAATAGCAGAGCTGGGATGGAGTCTGTTTACATTCACACCAGTATCCCAGTTATGAGACCTATTCTGGTTTTGATCATATTCAGGATGTGGCCTTTAAATGGAGCCCAGAGAAGTCAGGTTATCCATATCCCTGCATACATGATACATACTAGTATCATGTCTGCTGGTTACTGTGTGCTGCCTGTGTAGGCACCTGGAATGTTTACAACACAAACCAGCATTTAATATGACATTCCTGTTACTGTTATCCCAAACCTTTCATTATTTGACTGTCGCCACTGGAAATGGGGCTGATGACTCGCTAAGCACCATCATGGTGCAGATTTAGTTTATCCCACCTTTTGCCAGCAATGCGACATGAGAGCGACTCCTCACTTTGACCAGAGTCAGGCTGTTACTGCCACTGTGGAGTTCAAGGGAGCGATGGATGAAGATGCACAGCCATGACTGGTAGGATAGGGTCTTTATCGTGCAATCCAGTGCATCGAGTAGAGGAAAATCTACCATATTACTAGAACATACTTTTACTGGCTGTGTGACGCAGTTAAAACATTCATGAGACCGAAGGGAACAACAGTACGAGCACCAGTTCTGTTACAGATGAAAGATGCCATACTCAGTGCCTGCACAGACAGTGCAACGGAAAGAAACTGGGATAGGCTGTATAAATGTAACAGTATCCTGTTTCTCCCCCTGAGTACTCCAGCTAGCAAAACATAGTTACTCAAAACTGTGGTAAGGACTAATGCAGGTTTCTGAAATCAGGACCTAAAAACCTAAACATACCCAGAATATTCAAGTTTATGTGAACACAGTCATTAATGTTATTAGTAACTTCTGTGCTTTTCCTGCTGTAATGAGTCAAAAGGTGTTTCCCAAATCCATAGTACACACCAGTTCTATACAGTCTATCCAGTGCTACACACACATCATCATAGTGTACTGTTTTAGCAAATGGTGTACAAAATGATTAACTCAAGGTTCAATGATATGCTAATGATAATGATGTTAGAAAATAACACCGGGAAATTGCAACGTTTTTCATATGATTTAATGATTATGTTTTGTTTTTCACTGCCATCCACAATTTATTTACAATTTTTCAAGCTAATATTTTGCACTGACAGCGCACTCAAAAAGTCCAAAGATATTCTATTCTATAAGAATTCTATAAAGACCAAGAATAGACATGATGGAAGGTATCTGTTTTTGTTTTCACACTGCTATAGTGTGAACACATTGCATACTCCCATCCTGCTTAGAATGAGTATGTAGTATGGAGTTGGGAAATCTGTGGGGACACTGTGTGTGGTGTGAAAATGACTCAGTGTCCATACATGATTTGAATCAAAGTCTCAGTGTACAGGGAGAAAACGTCTCATGTTTCCACACTGGTTTTATTAGTACTAAAGACGTCCAAGCTAATATCACAAGTGTTTTATAACCAGTCAGATGAACAGGTTTACGTAAGTATGGTTATTAATGTTTTCGTCAGTGCTGCATTTTCTCACTGTGAGCTTTTTGTTAAACTAGGAACCAGTCAAATGTTCGCCGCATGCACACAGCTGTCAAGCTGAATGAGGTGGTGGTCAACAAGTCGCAGGGAGCTCATCTGGTTCTGCTCAACATGCCTGGACCTCCACGGAACAGAGGAGGAGATGAAAACTGTATCCTTACTGATGGATTTCTAAGTGTTATATAATAGCAGCGTGTCAGAGGACAGCGTGGAAACAGGGCGACTGTATAAAACAGGTCACAATACTGAGAGTTACCAGTTAGATCTACTTTGCTTTATAGTGAGTTCAGCTCATTCAGCCGTCCAGCAGCAGCCTCACTGCTCTGGTTCTGCCCACGTCATTTCTGACTGCAGCAGGCAGCCGTTTAGAGAAAACCCTCTAAAAGCTGCTGTGCTCTACCTGCTCAACGGCAAACAGCTGACAGCCTCAGAGACGTTTGGCGGCTCATGAGCCACGTCTTTCCCTCAGCAGGGTTTAACAGTCCAAACTGGGTGAAACAAGAGTGAACTGAAGTTTGTCATGTGGTCAGAAACATGATGCCTGCTGCATGATAAAAGTTATCCAGCTTTACTTCAAGATGAATATGTGTGTTCATGATGTATTTTATGTGCATTATCAACTATCGCATTAGAAAATGGTTTTAACTCATTTAGAATTTTGCAAAAAAGTTTGTACGCTCACTTGAGGTGTTTTCACGCTTGATGGAGATAGAAAGACTTGTTTTTCTACTAAGTTTTGATGTTGCCAACATTTAACTCCATGATCAGCTGTTTCCCCTTCATTGTCTTCACACCATAAAATATGTCCGATACTGATGAAAGATATTAACTACAACTTTCCTAGTTGAAAACAGTTCCTCAAGACTTCTCTCCATTTTGCTCTTGTAGAAGTTTTGTTTGTTTCTTCTTCTCTGTGGACATTTAGCATCGGCAGGCAGATGGTTTAGTTTCCAGTTTCTGCTACTGGGTTTATTACGGCCACATGTAGCAGCCTTTAGCGCCCCCTTCTGACAACAGCACGCAGCCGAGTTCATTCACACAAGACGAGTAAATTAAAACAAACGGAATCTGCTTTTTGTTTTTTTCAGTATTTGAAAAGTTTCATATTTGCTGACCACAGCTACTGTTGTGTTGCTTAGAGAGTAGAAGTGTAGAGAGTTGTGCTGCCCTGTGCTCTCTGGATTAGTCTCTGTGTGCGTTCTACCTTGATTGCTGTTGTCTCAGACATGGAGTTCCTGGAGGTTCTCCTCGAGGGTCTGAACCGGGTCCTGCTGGTGCGAGGCGGTGGCCGTGAAGTCATCACCATCTACTCCTAAAAACACTCTGGCGCCCCATCCTGCACTCACAGGCATGTTGCCATGGACACCGGTCACCGGGCATTTTTTGGGGAAAAAGCCTAATTTGGTTTTTATGAAGGGCGGGGTTTGTTGGAAGGCGGGACCACTTGTGATTGCCAGACGAGGACGTCAGGATGAAGGATTAGCATTGAACTGGTGGACTGGCTGAGAGAGCGAGCACAGTGTGTGTCCATGCCGGGCCACAGAACCTCTGCACAGGGAAGACTGAGCATAGAGACACTTTATATCTTTCATTTAACTCTGAAAACTTTGTTCTGTTCTGTTACGTCTTCTTATTTTTTCCCCTCTTGTGTTGATGTCGTCAAGTTACTGGCACTCACTGTGTAAAGATAAGACAAGAAGAAGTGAATGTTGTCAATATGAACCTCATAGTCTTTTATGTTGTTTGGTGTATTGGCTCTGGGAGGTGCAGAGACCTGCTGGACCTGAGAAACACGTGCACACAGATGAATGTTACAGACTGGATATGAGTTAGGGAATATGTCGTCCACAGTCACCCTTTTTCTGTTTTTAAAGCTCTACAGCTGGAAGGCCGCTCATAACATATGAATGATTAATATGATCTGGTCTGGGTCACGATCTGACACCAGTGTTTTCATTTAAATGAACTTCTCAGAAGTGTTTTCAGGCTGAACTAGTTTAGAAACTGCTAAAGCATGCTGGTTAGGTTGTAGAGCCTTCACATGACAGAACAAGGGAGGACTCGTGTCTGCAGCTGACAGTGTGTCCTGCCATGTCAGTGAGTTAGAAAGGGAACGGCCAGGAGGATGCTGAATGTGCACCAGGTGTCCCAGTTTGGTGGGTGGGAGGCTTTCAGATTTTGGGTACTGCTATTTCATTTTCCACCTTCGAAGAAGTTTTAATAGGGAAAATAGCCATAGCTCATAGTGCGCTTTACATGAACCTGTACATTTCTGGTGTTTGAGGTAGAGCTCGGTTGGGAACAAGGTAGATTTTTTTTTTTTCTTTTGTAAGTTTAATCCAAGGGCTGTTTGACAGCAGACAGTAGCTTCATACAGGAATCGCTTCATAGGCTCACATAGTTAATCTGTAGTTTGCCCTCATAAGTGTTGGCATTTAACAAAGTATACTGTCAAAATGTAAAAGCACAAATTGACATGTGTGTTTTTTAGTGCAATCCTTCCCATACTGACATAGTTCCAGCACTGTTGACTTTGCACTACCAACCTTTCAGCACTTAATTCATGGTGTACTTACACTCAGCGACTCTTTCTGTTGGTCTACACGAGTACATTCTGAACTAAAGATAAAAGGATGCAGACATAAAGCAATTCCATACTATTTAATACTCATGCTTCAATGTTTTTATATTTTATCAAACAAACACCTTTAGGCTTTGAGTCCCAGACTGAATAGATGACTTGATACGTAGGAGGAAAAAGTGCCAAAATGACTATAAAAGAAACTGTGGAAGTATTAAAAAAAAAGCAGCTCAGAGCACGGCCATACTGTAACCACTGATTTTAACATTGGCAATCTTTAATCTTTAAAAAAAAAAAAAAAAAGCACAAATATGATAATTTTTTTATGATCAAACTCCTCATTTCTGCCAGAATTATTACAAAATTCTTGTGGATAAGTTAGTTAATTAGTAGCACAGGCTCCAGGGCATTTCAAAGCATCATAAAAACAACCACATGTGGTCAGAGAGGAGGCGGAACCGAGTCCAGCCCTCCTCCCCGCTACCTCCACAGTTTCTTTTCAAAATTAGCTGTGCAGTATTTTGTAAAGCAGAAAGTCCTATTTTCCTGCACAAGGAAAATGCGAACTTCTGACCATCAGTTATGCAACTTGTGTGTTTTGTTGTGTTTTGTTCAGCTGTTGACGTATGCCTGTATAACTAGTTACCACCTCTGTAGTGTTTGTTACAATATAATTGATCTTCTGTTACTTTAAGTGTTAATTTTCAGCAAGAAGGAGGCAGAGGGAGGCGGTTTGCTAGTTGTTCGGGGTTTTTTTTTGCATTTTGTTCCAAACCCACAAAAAACACAACATGCACAACACACAGGACTGAAAAACCCCCTCATGACGAAGGGTCGACAAACATGGGTGAAGCAACGAGGGTGAGTTCTGTCACTTACTACATGAATTTCAATGTTACTGTTCCTGTTCAGTTTTCTATTTTAGCCACCAAAGATAAAACACAATATGAATAAGTTGTTTAGTTTTAAGCAGTTTCAGTGATTGAACGTTGTAAAGATAAATTATTAAAGACGTTTGTATTGTTTTAATCTGGTTACTGAGCTGAGTAGTGGTAGATGTGCATAAAGAAAACCTTAAACAGAATCTAAGTGTAAGAAGAGACGTTTCTGGAGGTAAATAGGACTGTCAGCGGTGTGTGTTTCTAATGTGACTGGAGAATGTTATCTACCTCAAGGTGTCACTGAGGCTCAGCTGAAGAAAGAAACTTGTTCAGTCACATCTGTCTTTCAGAAAAGATGTCATGTGGATTTGTAAAAGGAAATGAAGCCTCAGCTATGTGAGAGGACCAGCAGAATATCGTGTGTGTGAGTGAGTGTGTGTCCGTGTGTGTGTCTGTGTGTGTGTGTGTCCACCCTGCATGTCATCGTGTAAACCGTTAGGAGGTGAGGCTGTGTGTTTCTGCTGTAGTCCGGCTCAGCTGGCAGGCCTCCCAGGCTGGAGTCACTTGTGAGCGCACATGTAGAGGAAGGTAGCCCTGTAAATCGTATTTGTGCCTCTCTGAGTAATTATTAAAAGTGCTGAAATAAACCAGAACTTCCCTGTGTGCTTATTCTACTCACATGATGGTTGTTTGGGTGAAAGCCTCATTCTTCAAGAGTTTATGTTTTGCCAGGAACTAAATACTTCTTTTCTAAAGGTCTATTGACACCTATCGAGCGCACCTGAATATAAGCCGCACACACTAACTTTAAAAAGAAAACAAGTTGTGTACATATACAGGCTGCACTTGTCTATAAGCTGCAGGTGTCGACGTTGTAACATGAGATACTTAAACAGAAAGATGTTACACAGCAGGATTTTTTAAACTTTTAATTAATTAAAATTAATTAACATACACAAATACGTACCGTAAACGCTATTTGTCTGAACAGTGTCTGTAACACGGCTGGTTAAAAAAATAAAAAGCTCAGTGGCCTACCAGGAAAAGTCATTGATGCTATCTTCATCTTCCTCCTGCTCACTAAAACCACTAAAGTCGTCTTCTTCAGTGTTGAACAGCCTCAGAATTACTTCGTCACACACTTCCTCAGTCTCTCTTTCGTTGTCGCTCTCAGTGTCACTTCCGTCTCAATGCAAATTCGCAAAACTCATAACAATCCATAAATTAGCTGCAGTGTTCAAAGCGTATGGGGAAAAAAAAAATAGTCTGGAATTTACGGTAACCATCTGAATTATTTTGAGCTACTCATGAAAAGTGTAAAACTGGGTCAGAACTCCTACAATAATGGGTCGAGAGATGACAGCGTTAAATTCTGATGATAATAACTTCTCTGATCTTCTGTTTCTCTCCTTTGGATTCTGCAATTTTACTCTTCAAGGCCTTATTTATGTGAAACTGTCTGAACAATGTTTATAAGGAGAGGATGCATTGAACTTCATATAAAGGGATCACAAGCTAAAAGTTGTTTTTTTTTTTTTTTTTAACTTGTTGTTTTGCAGGATATAACTGCTGTTTAACAAAAGCACAACAAGAAATGGCAGCAGGTGTGTTTGGAGTATTCAGGACAGCGGACAGTCGTTCATACATTCCTCCACCAGAGGGCAGCCTCGCCTTCCTTAGGGTTAGGGTCTAAACTGGACTCATGCTGCAGCTTGATGGCACAAGTTGATAGTCAGATATCTGGGAGCCAAATCAAGCATGGCCACATTTTTGTATCGCCTGACTTCCACAGAAAAGCTCAGAGTGCACATGAACACACTGGTAGGTTTACTGACTTGTGTTTCCTGTGTGCAGCAGGATGCCAGGTTGTCCTCCTCTGCTGTGGTGGGTGTGAGCCTCCTCCTGCCCCACCAGCACCTCCCCTCCTATCTAACTGGACAGTCAGCTATCCAGCGCTGACAGGCCTGACCCCAGCCGGTCACATGGTCCCTATCTCACACAAACAAACCGTACCGACATCTGATTCAATCAGAGCGTGACCATGAGGGCGGCAGACAGGGAGAGCATACCAGAGGCTGCATCAGAGCTTCATATCTGCTGTAGTCGTCGTTCATCCTTCCACACCCAAGTTCTTCAGCTGTCATTAATGATGCACAGAGGATGGCAGTTTTCAAACACTTCAAGTTTCTCTGGAGTCTTGTTGCTGTAACTTGAGGAGGAAGTTGCTGTGTGCTGAACACGCTGAACCTGAATCCTCGTACTAAACAATCCAGTGTAGAAAAGTGCTGCTGGCTTCTTTGATTTTTATAAGGAATCCCAATTTTTCTTCAGGTCATTTGTAACCTGAGAAACAAATACATATTCTGTGCAAAACTCTCTGACTTGAACACTGCGAGGCTTTGACCTCTGACAGCCTGCGGTTGTCTTTCACCACTCTGTGTGAGCAACCTGCATGTACAAAGTCCTGACTGCCTCTCTTCTGTTTGCGCTGTACATTGTTGACCAAATCAGCAGGAAACAGCGACACGTACAAATACGTGACTGACAGACACAAAGGAGTCTCTCTCACATTTTCACTGCCACCATGGACAGAAATAACAGTTAAGTGATGCTCCACTGGAATATTGTCCGCTTGTGTCTGTATTGATTCACACTATGACCGTTCAGCTTTTTCCATCCAATTGAAATGTTGGTGATTCATCTCTTCAGCAGAGCTCCCGCTGGGTCGTTCAGATACTTTTTTTTAAGGATGAAGCAGGAGGGTGCAACGATGTAGGCTTTAGATTTCAGAATTGTCTGACAAAATACAAGTAGAAGGGAAAATTGACGTATATCTTGGTCCCTGAGCAGGTATTTGGTGCAGTTTCCTATTTAACACTTTATTACTGATGGACGTAGCTTCCCGTTCGGGAAAGCAAAAGCATGTAAAGTGCCTTGAACCTGCATTCTTTTACCAGCCAGCAGGGGGCGACTCCTCTGATTACAAAATACCCAATTGTACAGAAATCTATGAGACAATGACTCCACTTCTCACTTGATCTTAGACCTCACTTAATGTTTTCCTAATGAGTTTATGGTTTCAGTTGTGAGTGTCAAGTCTTCTTCAACACAACGTGATATTTATTTTGAAAAACAGGTCCCAGTTAGAGTGAAATAGGCGATAAACAGGTGTGTTTTAGGGCTGAGCTACTTTACCTTTCCTCGACTTCTCAG